CGATTGTTTAATATTACCCATATTATGATGTATTATGTATTTGGGCTTATAGCCACACATGCATTATGGGAATAAACGACTAGGAATTGACTTTAACATGTTTTCCGTTTGTGGATGAATACTTCGCGAACTCAAGGACTCAGGTACTCATAAGTCCAATCTTGTTATGATCACTCATTCTGCGCCAAGATGGAGAATATAGATTTCACCGACATACAAATGAACTTGTATACAGATTGTATGGGGTTTTTTCAAACAAAGGAACAAAACTACTTTGATGTCCAAGCTGTGACGATGACGGAAAATTGTCTACAGCGGCCTAACAACATACTCCCACACTTTAACCAAGACAGTAAACGAATTTATAACGTGAAATGTTGAAAGTAGTTACTGTTATCTTTTGCATTTATTCGTAACTAAAAATCTATAATATCTATGGAGAAGTTGATCATAACAAACCACATGTAAAGGGAAACCTGTACAATCTGGAACACTGTAATTTCTAATGCTGAAAACGGAAAAGGAAACAAATTCATAGATTTTCCCTGTTTAGCTACTGTACACGTCTATTGGTTACATTTAAATAAGCAGGCTTGTACGAAGACAGTACCGTGCAACCATTCATAGCTGGAAGTAGTGGAGAACAAACACACGTACAGTGATAAAATACTTCTCAATTGTCGGCGTTATGGACAAACAACAATACTCGTTAAAGCTTCTTGGTGCTATTTCATTGTCGCTATATTGTAGTTGTAATGTAATATTTGTGCTTATAAATGACCTTATTTTACGAAACAGCTTGGACCCTGTAAACAAAACATTAATCCCGTGTTTGATGACAGGTTATAGTTATTGGTTTACAGGTCGATATCCGTGTTTGGCGACAGTGAAACTCTGACGCGACATAAACAATCATCTCCTCCATGCAAGCAATTGACTGACTCTTTCACTGCAACGTGCGTGTTTTCATTCTCCTCAAGGGGATACGAGAAATGTTTTATTGAAGCTATACAGGTTTCATATCACTATGAACTCTTCTTCTGATAGCCTTTAGTTTTGTATATTTGCAATAAACATTAATTTCTTCTGCAAATAGGGGCGCTGTGGCATACCTAGAGGTTACAGCGCCTGCTCGTCACACCAGAGACGTTGTTGCCTTCCTGCTGGTCACTGATGTCGTTACTTATCCAGACAAGTCTCCACAAGGGTCACAGGACTTTGGAATGGCATTAAATTTGGTCAACGTGGACCTATGGCGTACTATATACCAGCATATATTCTTCCCGGTGGTTATTTAGGAAAGTCGTTCAGCCTTTTCGCGAACACGATCGAGGGCAATTTTTATAAATATTGGTACTTTAGAGGTTATATTTTAAATGTTAACGAAATCTGTAAGGATTGAGAAAAAATGAAACTATAATGTTCCGTTGAAATAGTTCCTCACAATAATTTGTAAAGGGTATTGTCTTTCAACTTTCAGATTTCAGATATTCATACAGAGGCAATGGGAAAGCCTAGTGGTTAAAGCGTTTGCTTGTCACACCGAAGACCCGGGTTCGATTCCCCACATGGGTACAATATGTGAAGCCCATTTCTGGTGTCCCCTGCCGGGATATTGCTGGAAAATTGCTAAAAGCGACGTAAATCCGTATCACTCTCGAGATTATCTGGTATCTCTGAATGTCAGTTTTCAGTGATCCATTCAAATAATTTTAACCATTCTTTTGCGACTGGTTGCTCTCTAGCTTAGACGAGTATTTTTTATATGTTCCCCTTACAATGGTGAAATAATCTACCTTAAACTTTAGTTTGTCAGACTTTGAATGAGTGTTTGCTGTTTTATGGCACTGTCAACAATATTCAGCATTATCGTCTTTAAGTAATGGAATCTGGCTGAGGTAACACACTGGTGACATTAACAAAGAGTCCTGTCCGGGTTCTGTTATTAGCACGTAGCACTAAGAAAGCTTCGAAAATCAAGGCCCTGGTCACTTGCTGTATAGTTAAGTCGAAATGCTTATAACGAACTTCGGTTATAATGAAGTTAGTGATCCCTTTGAGTTCGTTATAACAGTATTTTACTGTATCACTACCACTTTCCATCGACTAAAGATGAATGTGACCAAACCCTCTCCATAACCTATGAAATTATGAAATATGAAATATGAGTTCATAGTATCATGAGCAGGTGTTTATGAATCATTAAAAAATAGTAACTTAACTAAGTGTTCATGAAAAGTGAGTTATCCTTTCCTACCTGTCGCAAACACATGCAAGAGCAAGTCAATTGTTCAGAATATAACACGATGAACCAGGGTTATATCAAAACATAAAAAGAACAGATTTATTCATGATCAGATAGCCCTGAAACCACCTAAAAGGTTGGCCACATAATAAATGACACCTCGTATGTACAGCAATTAACAAAAAACGGAAGTCCATATTTGGCATGTAACATATAAAACAAAATAATACATAATTGAAACTGTTATGAACATGAACTGAGTAAGCTTAAGACATTTATAAATGTGAAGCGTAAGGGAGATGTTTTTCACCAGAATAAAGATTGTCTTAACTGGATAACATACGTTATAGGTGTAATTAAGAAACATTTATGAACAGGCTTACGTCTTCGTCGAGCCCACTGGAGTATGATGGTTCATACTGCAATAAACTTAAACAAAGTGAATGTCAATTCTTATATTTTACATTTCCCCTTTAACACCTTGAAGGATGTTTTAACAATATAATTTCCTGCGTGTAAATTTTTGTCGTTGACGATTTCTTTTGATGCTTACACTGACAGCAGTACATCAACCATCTGTATAGCAGAATAAACTAGTTCCTCAAAGGAAAAGAGACATGCTCAAACTGCTCTCACTAACATCGTACTTTGTTTTGTTGCAACAAATAGATCCAAATGAAAACATCATTAGATGGGAAATGTCTGTTAAGAACTACCTTCGTCTGTCAGTCACATTGACAGCACGTCGTGATACATTACATCTAATACAGGATGTCAAAATGGTGGACACGATAAAGTGACAGAAGAGATTTGCGGATTTCTGCTGCGATTACTAATGATAGTTACCATTGATCAGCTGGATCATTGAAAGCTGAACATAGGGATGTGTCAAAAAGATATCGAGGTAGATTGCTGTTGTAACTTTCAGAAGTCAGTCGTGGCAAAGATTGGTAGGTTGGGTGTCACTGTACACTTCATAGTTTTGTTCACCGAGATCGGGGAAGCCAGGAAATCCATTTCGAAAAGAAGATAAAATGTGTTATTTATACGCTTTTGGGCGCCATTTTCGCGGTCAGTTGACAAACCTATCACCCTTGGACAAGTGGTACATGTTGGGTTTTTTCTCATATTAAAAAGTACAGTGATGTGAAGTGTTTCGACTGAGTATTTTCTGCAAAATATTTTGGGATTTAAGACGTATATAATTTCGCTAAAACTAACCATACCATTTCTTTCTGGGTCTAAGTAGATGCGACCCTAAAAGACTCAACACCGAAGGGTACATGGAGCTGTTCCTTGAGATGACGGCGGTGGGGTAGTCTGGTGCTGAAACCTCGTCACGCTGAAGGAAGGGGACGCTTCTCAACATCAATACATTGTGATAGTACTTGAATACTGCTTAAATCTGCCCATAAAACTAGACTCACCAGAAGAAAACTAGAAACACTTATTGAGGACAGGTCCTCAAGCGATGTTCTATTATTGTTACGAATCAATATTTCCTTAAATACAGTCTTGCTCTTTGTGTTTAAGGTGACAACTGACTTGAAAACTGACAAAAATGTTGATAAAAAGCAAGATTGTGTAAATGGATCACCCAAGAGAGGGTTTCTGGTTGAAAATAATTAATTATATTTAACTTTTTTTTCCCAATTTGACATAATTTTTTATTGACCGCAAAACCCGAAAGATTGGGTCCAAAGAATAAGTTAATCAGTATTAGGCGAAAGAATAACTGATGAATATTGTTGTGGACTCAACCGTTTGGCACTTACAGCTTATGTCTTTAAAAAATAATGTTGTTTTTTTTTAACTAAAATAATTAAAGTTCGTACATGTCGATCTTTTCAAACACTCTCCTATTTTATAAAAACAAAATGGCCACTGTGATCAATAAAACACTTTCGAGGAGGTAACCTTTTAAGAAGAATTTACAGTTGTTTTATTATAGTGTAGTGTCTTTGCTGTTGGGTTTGAGCATACTATATATATATTGACATCAGACGTGGATGTTTCAGTCGTACACGAATAGTGAGTGAGTGAGAAGATGTTACGTTGCTTTAGCCATATTCCAGTATCATTTTAGCGGGGAACACCATAAATGGGCCTTTAACATTGTACCCATGTGGGAACGCATGCTTGTACCACCAGACTACTCTACTGCTCTTATATGTATCATGAACTGAGTTGCGATGTCATGAACAATATTCTACACTAAATCGTTTTTTTAGTATTGGATATTTTTCGAAATTTCTATCGACGAGATTCTAATTCAACTGGTACAATGCAACCAGGTTATGGCTTTATTTGTGTAACACTGTGCTGTCGTTGTAGTTGCTTCAAGTTTTAGGCGTCAGAATAGTTGTTTTCTTGCTGCGGGCCTTAGCTCCACATCCTTTCGCCTTTGCTACAGCAACCGTGCGACGTTAGGTAAGCGCAACTCTAAGAGCAGCATTAATGTATTGCCTATTTCCGTATTCTTGAGGAATCCACTGACCGTCATGATTTCACTGTCAACGATGCAGCAACAGGTACGTCATTGTTACCACAACGTGTTTTCGTCGTTGACGCCAATGGCACTTTTGTTATAGAACGTCAGGTTACTGTCACCATTCCTACAATTTGCGTGGAACGTCATGACATCGTTGTTGCCATGGCAGCAGTCGGTGTCTCTTCATCTTCGGATATGGTTGCTGGTTGCGAAGGTTTCTTGAGCCTCTTCCGGAATTTCATCGCGGCCAACTTCACCATTCCTTCAACGTCGTCCACCTCGGCCACAGCGGGATCTTGCACACTGACTCCTGTTGCCTTCTTTGATTTGCATTTTACGCACGATACCCGCCAAGGCTGGCAGTCCACTCTGCGCCATCATACTGTTCCGTCTGTCCTTGCTGGCGTTCTGTGCTGCTTGGTCCTGCTCTTCCTGACGTTTCTTGATGATCTTCTTCAGCGTCTGTCTCAGAGTAACAAGGCCCATGTCCTCTCGCTTCTTGGCCTTGGCCTTCAACGTTCGCTGGTTGACGTAGCGGGACATTTCTTTGGCTCCTTTCATCATCTCTCTGCAAAATCAATGATATTAGTGTAGATATCTCCTCGAGTTTCAGTCAACTGTAACTCCTTTGTATTTGTATACATACCCTTGACCCATTCTCTATACATTTGTTTCAGAAATGGCGCCACTTTCTATGTATCCTATAGATAATAATTTATTGGACTGGACGGCTATTTATAGTCTCATGCCATTCTTTAAAAATGATGTATGGTAGCGAAAGGCCGATGGTTTTCATAACAAAATAAAAGAATTTATGTGATGACGTTACATCTATTGAACATTGTTGTTTTTCTATGCACTAATGGTCTATAACCGGTCATTGTTGAAAATGTTAAACGTAAACGCTGGTGGATAATCAGTCTAGCTGCCAAATCAGATTCCATTACGTTTAAAGTAGCCGTGATAGTTCTATGAACGGATCACTTGGAACAGTCAATACTGCTCAGCTTTTTCTTTTCTTTCAAAAATCACGGGAACTTTCATAGACACAATGCGTGAAATATCCAATTAGATTATAAATATTGGTAAAAATGTGTATGGTCTTTATTACAATATGTGTAAATATAGAACTGATACATATGCAATATTGTGTGATCAATATCCTGTCCAATTTCCAAGTAAATCGACTGACCCACTTCATGGAGCATGATGTTACCAAGTACCGGTTCATATTTGAGGCATATGAGGGACCATGAAGTCTTCACACACTTGTTTATTAAGAAAGAAACAATCCGATAAGAGATAAAAACAGAAAAAAACATTATCAGACGAACATAACTTTCAACGTCAGAGGACAATCAGTCTCGAATATGTGCCGAGGCAGACTCCAAGGTGTTTAAAAGACAATTCTGAAAACATCGATGACAGTTATTTGAAAGGATCACTAGAAGTCATGACACCCGGTGTTTATGGAAAGGGCAAGTATTCCCAACTGTACTTCTTTACTGTGGTACCCACCAACACCCAATTGTAGCAAACATAAATACTCGTTAGTAATTGGAGGAGGAAAACGTCATGTAAAGGTCGTAGTGGGTGAGTGAGTTTAGTTTACGCCGCACTCAGCAATATTTCAGCTATATGGCGGGTAATGGACATAGAATGGGATAGCATCGAACATCATGCAGTTAAGAGAATTCAATTTGCCCTTTTAAGAAAATTCTTTCAAATATTTAGCATAAAGGTTCTGGAATAATGACGTTTCTTTGATTAAGACATCAGGTTAGGGTAGTCATTTCTGGTCACTGAAAGAAGCGAGGTCATCTATATATCTAACAGAGGTTGAACTTTCTGGCAACTAAGGAATTATTAAGTCCTTCCTGAAAATAGTTTGCATCTGCAGAACCTACAAACGTATCCACCGGGAATTCGATCCCAGCCAGTGGTCACTTCGACGCTGTCAGGTTGACATATGCCATGTTGCCCTGAAGATCTGGACAGAAAAGGAACTGATTATACCATGGACATACGGACTTCAGTTGTTGCCTCTCTGTTGGACCAGCCTCGAGGAAAACGCTTTGAATTCTTCATGTAACATCGTCCCTTAATTTCCCCATTTATCTCACATACCCCTCGGCCATCACAGACACAAGAGTGCGAGACGGGGTCAGCTGATCTGGAGACATACATCGATATTCTGTTCCAGGTCCGATTCATGAGCGTGAAAGGGCTATTAACCAAGACGGGTGTCATTCAAGATAAGCAGTTGTTTGTTTACAGAAGGAAGCATATCGAACGTTGTTGGTTCCAAATAACCAAAAAGGAAACAAAAGAAAAAACAGCAAAAATGGTAACTTTCATGCATTCAATCGACCCATCACAAACACAACATCTCTGGCCATAGAATTAGACATTGACATCGCCTGCGGTTTCCTGTTTTCTTTGATCCTACATAAGACAGATTGCGAATGTTATGAAAAGTATATAAATCACAGAAAAAGATAATCCATCAGAAACGATATCGTCTATTACAAGAAATAATATTCCACAATTCGGATACAGCAAGTTCCCTCGTGTTTTGTTAAATCGAGAGATCACTGCTTCACACATGTGCTCATGAATAACTCGGTAGCGATTGTTAATTTGACGGATTTGACGGATTCTACAGTAGAAAAGGAGATATTCTCAGGTGGTGTAAACATCGATAGCAATTCTCAGTGTTAAAACTGTCTCAACAAATAGACAACCATGTTTTCTGTCATAAAGTATTCCCGTGTCTCGGACCCGACAAATACAAGCATCTTGACACTTCAGGGCGTGTGTCTGTTTGAATCCGAGGCAGTCAATTTTCTCGGCCAAACCCATTTCCTCTTGGTCCTTCGTTCAACCACCTACTTCCTTCGCGATAAATATATTTGGCAAACCAACTCAATCTATTATTAGGTTAAACGCCTCTTGCCTTTAATCCTACTCTAATTTCCCTCAACCTGAGCTTGTCCTAGACTTTGCTCAATCTCAGCACATGCCTTCCTAATCTTACCGTAAGTGATCAATTCAAAGGCCTAATTTAATTCGAAATGAAAGAACCGTGGGCCTTTGTGTCTGCTATTGGTAATTTGCATCTTTGTAAACACTTTACACTTAAAATTAGACGCATGCATGTTTTAAACCATTGAAGGAGCTCACTTGAGAAAATTAAGCTGTTCTTTGAAAGGATGCGACAATTCGAATCGGTTTCTATTTTGGTTTAACAAGCATGGGCCAAGTTTGCCAAAACATTTTGTAAATTTGAGATTTTGTAATCGTATTACGCTTTCATTCTACCTGAAAATGTCATTCATTGAATGTGGCTGAACTCGCTGATTCGCTTAAATACTTGAAAGGGACTCTAATCTAAATCATTCTTAAGTATATAGACCAGTATATGGTCTCTACACATAAAAAATGTATAATGGCCATGTCGGTTTGGTAGCTCAAACTCAGAACGAGGCTAAATCCAAGATGGCCACCCAAAAAAAAAACAAATTTAAAAAAAATGTCAATTCTTAACTCTAATCATTAAAATAATGCTAACATGATTAAAAAGATTTAATTAATATCAAGTTGTGTTATTTGATACCTTTAAATCATATTTTTTCCTGATTTTGTAAGAGTCAAAATTGTAAGTTGAAAAAACTCATTATTTCATTTATTCTGAAGTGGAGACGGCAAGAAAGTTGCTGCAGCCTTAATTTTGTTCAAAACGTTTGCAAGACCTCCTGGACTACAGCATACACTGCATGTGATACTGTTGGTACTTTTGGAGGCAGAGGGAAGGTCAATACATTAAAACTTCTCGTCAACAGCTAAGAATATCAAGAGGCTTTCCAACAACTTGGGAATGACTGGACTGCGCCACTAGGTTTGATTGACTAACTTTAAACATTCAGATGCCTCCTGTATGCCTCAGATTCTTAAATAAGGGATGTCCATCAATCGCGCTACCGCGTATTTGAAGTGAGAAAAGGGGCAATTGAATCAGGACAATTGCCACCCTGTTTTGATTGTCTATCTATGCATATCCTGAGAGCAACTATCAAGCTGCAATATGGTACAACTGTCTGGAAGTTGAATATCCAACTCCACGGGCAACAGATGGTCATATAGACATTTGCTGGATGACGTGATCTCTTGCTCCAGATGCTGTTCTTGAGTTCATTTCTTGTAAGTGCACATCAGTCTGTAAACTGCCAAGTTGCCAGTGCCTTACCAATGGACTGAAATGCACTGTGACATGTCGGAACCAGACTTGTGACAACATGGTATGCGAGAACCATGAAATGCCGAAGAGTGACAGTGATGATGCAGCTGATGTTAATGATGCGAAACAGTGACTATCACTAACCACTTTAAGGAAGTTGAAGGTGCTCTCACTCTTTGAAATTAAAGAGATGTCTTCAGAATAAATGAAATGATGAGTTTTTGAAAAGGTTTTTTGAACTTACAATTTTGACGCTTACAAAATTATGAACAAATATGATTTAAAGGTATCAGATAACACAACGTGATATCAATTACATTTTTTAATCGTGTTAGCACTATTTTACCTCCCTTTTTTCCATTTCAAACCTATTTGTTGAACTTTAATCACGATTAGAGTTTGGAATTGACAATTTTTTAATTGGGGTGTGTGTGTGTGTGTGTGTGTGTGTGTGTTGGCGGCCATCTTGGATTTTAGCCTCGTTCTGAGTTTCAGCAACCAAACTGACATGGCGATCATACATTTTGATATGTAGAGACATAACGGAATGTAAAAAACACTATAACTTTTGGTCCCTCTGAGTGGTACCAATATGTCAATTTTCAGCCCCTGGCTCATGGCCTCTTATTCATCATAATGATACTCAAGTAAATTACCCCTCTCTCCATGTTCAGCTTAAAGAAAATGCTGATAAGCTCAAATTTGATTCACCGTCGTCAATCGAATTATTCGTCCTGCCTTTAATGTCCAAGCCCGCACTTCAACACACCGGTCAAGTGGACTATCTAAAGTGAATGTGACCCGTGAAGATCCAGGTTAGAATTGGTCTTCAGCAACACATGCTTGTCGTAAGATGCAACTAACGGGATCGGGTGGTCAGACTCGCTGACTTGGTTGACACCTGCCATGGTATCCCAATTGCGTAGATCGATGCTCGTAATGTCAGTCACTGGATTTTCTGGTCCAGACTTGATTATTTACAGACCGCCGCCTTACAACTGGAATATTGCTGAGTGCGGCCTTAAACAACAAACAAACAAACAATAAAAATAAAAATCTAGACTTACTCCAAGTCTATCACGCCATCTTTGTTCACATCCAGCTTCTCCATAATCTCGTCCAACATATGTTCCGTGAAGGGAATTTTCAGCGTCTGGAGAAGAGAAGAGATCAGTTATTGTCGGCAACTATTTGCGTGTGTCAAATCGCTCTAGTCTGGGATGTTAAGACGGGATTTCATATATAACCCTATTATTTCAAAGGGATCGGACGAGGCTAACTGCTGTCTTAGACATTTCGATGGCCATGCCACGACTGCCTGAGCTTGGCGGCCATTAAGAGCTTATTGGCATCAGTGTGGGGCTCCAATAAACGCAATGTTCAATAACGAAACGTTTTATCAAAGGGTGGTCACTTTACGGGATAGTATGTCCTGAAAGAGTTTAAGTAAATTTGTTAGTGTCAACAGGTTACGGCTTACAGTGAGGTGAGGTGAGGTGAAATTGGGTTTAACGTCGTGCTTGAGAATATTTCGCTCATATGACGACGCATGCATGTGTATGTGCATGTGGCTGCTTGTACTAGCCCAGACTGAAGCTGGTTTTATAGTGCTAGCCCACTGAGATACCATGCCGCATTGAAGCATGAATACCCCACTCAGACACATTATACTGACTCCGAGCCGACCAGTCCTTGTACCCATTAATGCCGAGCCAAAAAGTACCATATTTTAACGTCTTTGGTATGATGCGGTCGGGGATCGAGCCCGCGACCTTCCGCTCTCCGGGCGGACGCTCTAACTTTCACTGCACCACGGAGGCGGTCCTTTTATAGTGTGTTCCGACCTGTACACATAGTTTTGCATTTAAAATCAAGCCTCCGGGTCATTGAATGTTGCTATATATGTATATGTTATATATATTGATATATATTTCGGTCCATGCCAATGAGCACCAATCTCAGGGAGAGGACAATTGATATTATGGTGCGGGGTTGGGGTGATTTACGAACTGATGTTCATCGATAAGAAAAGCCTGTGGCACATGGTTGAGTGTATAACACACGAGCTACAAATCACGGTAAAGTAAGCAATGGTTGCGGCGGAGAGTCGGTGGATGGGTGCAACTACTGGGAGTTTTGGGGCATTGGTCTTGCTGCTCACTGATATCTATGTTATATGTTAGGCAAGTGACTTTGCTCGAAATGACCCGCTGTTCACCCAGGGCGACTCATTAATGATGGATCAGCCGCTTGAGCCTCACAGGCAGCGTGGGTTGTGAACTTCCCGGGAGCCGAGAATGACACACTGATCCACTGACCAGAATAACACAGCCTATTTGGGCGTGGAATCTAGCGCCTTATAGATACAAAGATTGTTTGTTCCTAGTAGAAATTTGAAAACAACTCATGTATAAATATGAATGAGTGTGTTTGGGTTTCGCCGCTTTTTGCAATATGCCAGCAATTTCACGGAGGGGAACACCAGACATAGTCTTCACACATTGTACCCATGTTGAGGAATCGAACCCGGGTCTTCGGCGTGACAAGCAAACGCTTTAACCACTAGGCTGTCCCACTGCCACTGTATGAATATAAATGATGGAAATCTGAAAGTTGAATGACAATACCCTTTACAAATTCTGAGGATCGGAACTTTATAGTTTCTTATTTTTTTCAATCCAAAGAGATTTTGTTATTACTGAAAATATAACTTCAAAAGTACCAATATTTGTAAGAAGTGTACACGATTCTTTTCGCGAAAAGGTTTCATTTTTCAAATCCAAACAGAATATGTGCTTGAATTTTAGTTGCGACCTGTTAATTTTGTTAATATTGAACTTATAAAAGTACCAATATCTGTAACAAGTGTACACCATTGTTTTTGCGAAAAGGTTTAATGACTTTGCAACATAACGACCAAGGTGCCGTTGTACAAAGCAATCTTAGCGCTAAGGTGACCGTAACTCCCATACCTTAACATAGTAACTCCAACACCTTAACTTAAGGTAGTCTTAGCGCTAAGGTGACTTAGCGTAAACTCCCATACCTTAACACTTAGTAGTCTTTGCGCTAAGGTGGTAACTCCCACACCTTAACATTTAGATCTAAGGTAGTCTTTGCGCTAAGGTGACCGTAACTCCCAGACCTTAACATAGACTTAAGGTAGTCTTTGCGCTAAGGTGACCGTAACTCCCACACCTTAACATAGACTTAAGGTAGTCTTAGCGCTAAGGTGACCGTAACTCCCACACCTTAACATAGACTTAAGGTAGTCTTAGCGTTGAGGTTGTTTTGTACAACAGCGCCCAGGAAGATTATATCCTGGTATATAGTAGACGTCATAGGTCCACGTTGACAAATGCCATTCCGAAGTTCTGTGACCCTTGTGGAGATTCGATGTCTGGATAGGTAACGACATCGGTGACCAGCAGGCTACATTAGGAATGGGAAGGCAAGAATGTCTCCTGGTTGTGTTTCACCGACGACCTTGGTTGTCGCTGGTCCCTCCATCCACTATGTCGCCAGAGACGTCCTCCATTATGTACAGCCCGCTAGTATACACCGCATAGTTTGAATGTACTGACTGTGGCGTAGTCACTTTCAATCACTCACTCATTCGAGAAAGACAGAGTCTTCAGGGGGAACAACTGTTACTGCTGATTTTGTTGTTTCAACAAGTTCATCAATAAAGTGGGGTTTTTTGTGCTTACTGACGCATCAGGGGAAGCTTCAACTCACGGGCGTAACTAATATAAGTTGGTGTGTGTCAATTACTTTTAGTTTTGAAGTGAAGACAAACGACATTCTGTGTTTAATTAAATCCCATGGATTAAAAGTACCCCATGCTTCTACAATTGGAATTATGTAAATCGCGGTTATGCGGACAACAGCTTGACATGGAGGTTTAGGTTTTCTTCAGTGGCTTCGTTTGAACGGTTCTCTACACCGAAATCTTTTTACAATTTGATTTAATCATACGATTGCTGCCTGTCAGTCATGTTGTCACTGGTGCCATCTTGCAAAAACAGCTGTTATCTGGGGACTCATCTTTATATTCCTTGTAACACACGTTAAACAGAAAATTCCACTCTTAAAACTAAACTGCATACTTTTCATAGTAAATATACTGAAATAATGTCATCCAGGTCGATAGACAAAAATCTTCCAACAATTGTGTACAAAGTTCTATGTCCTCCGAGAGGTAATATTCTTCCCGGAATCAACAATTTTTACATGTTATTCGAAATCAACTACATTTGTATGGTTTTAATCACGGGCGCGTGTTCAACGACGATCAGCTGTTCATTTCTAGAGCAACACATGGTATGAAGCTGTCACATGATATGATTTACTGCTGGCCGACAATCATGTTTTCATCATAAACGTGACTGTGTTAAAACGTCAGTACGCTAACCCTTGCAGAAGCCTATTTTTGTTATTAACACACAAAACATATTTAAGACATTACGCTTGACTTCTTTGATGGGCATTTTAGATGTTGAGTTGATGATTGACTTGCTTTACAACGACTTTAGAATCTATGTCGAAACGTAGCCTTTCACAGAATAAAAGAAGTTGTATATCCATAAAAATAGTCATCATTCTTCATACTACGCTTGTGAATTATTCCATCGTGAACAATGGTTATTTATCCAAACTATCAGCAACAACTTGATTATTCCTGTAATGAAAAGTAGTCGAACAACCGGAAACAAACACGACGGAATAAATAGGCGAAAGCGCCACGGTACTGCAGCTCACCCTATACTTTTGAAGCGTGCATTCCCTTTATCCGTTCATAGATGTGTAAACCTTGGGGATTCATGGTCAGAATAGGTCCCTATTTCAGACTGCTTTCAAAAAAGCTAACAAACAGTGAGATTGTGTTTGTGCCGTTTGTTTTACTCCAAGCACATGAGACACTGACCAACACTGGATTATACGGACTCGCTTATATGAACTGTCCCCACATGGGTACAATGAGTGAAGCCCATTTCTGGTGTCACCCGCTGTGATATTGCTGGAATATTGCTAAAAGCGGTGTAAAATTAAACAAACTCACTCACTCACTTACTCATTCACTCACTCATTATATGAACTGCCGGACAAAATGTAGTATCCACTGACGTTTCATAGAGGCTAGTGTTGGGAATTGGTTGAAATCTCACATTTGATGATTGCTCCATTACCAAAGAACAATCATCGAAAAAAATTGGTTAGCGAGATTTTTCAGATTTTCCAACCCAGGTTGTTATTGCAGATATGTATAACATGATGCAACTTTCTACTTTAAAGTGATGACTAATATATCATGAACATAAACTTCCTTGAGTCTTAGAGAAATATTTAGTCATGGCTTTTCAGTTAGTGAAGTGAGTTTTCTAAGAACTAAACACGTTTTCAGGCCCTGACAATTTCTAAGATATGTTCCATTGTCAAGTTTTTCAAAGACTAAAACAGTAGTTCCAAAATCGTTTATGTTCGATTATGAGAAAATGTGATCGATTACTTGGTCGTTTGGTCACTGCGACCAATCTTCGATTATTTTAATTAATCGGAACACCATTAATAGAGGCTAAAATGGAAAAGAAAGAAATTGTTTTTCGATGTTCATGTTTTTGAAACGTGCATCAAACGATTTTGCTCCTTACGTTTCAGTGTTTTGGTAACTGATTTCAGTCTAGTAAAGCTTTGACAACGTTTGTAATTGTTTGGTCAAGTCCAGATTTCAATAATTGTTCCCTTTCTTTTGCACTAAATTTTATATGCCACCTTCACAAAACTTGGATATAGAGAACCGCGACTTACAAAGAGACACGTGAGTCTGTTGTAAGAATCCTTATTTCAATCAAGTGATATCATTGACAGCGAAACGTGAGAGCCAAAAATACATAACAGTTATTTTTAGGCAATCTATATATATTTCGTTAAACCTAAACTAACCCCTTGGTCAGTCGCCGTCTCTTTCCCGATATCAGATATCCGCCATTGTTACGGACAGGGTTCGAACCGTCGACCTTCATCTCTGCACACACACACTCTGGAGATGGCCATCTATCATATAATGATTACGCAAAGAGACGTGCGTGTATTGGAGACAACCCTTGTCTTTTGTCAACAAAATATGTTAAAAAACATGACATTGTCATTTTGATATCTGAACAGCTGTCCATAGGCCAAATATAGTTCTTCCAATATTGCGGCTATGGCATCATTTAAAAATAATCATTGATAAAAATAATATAATTAATAAATTTGGATGTGCGCATATTACATAACCAATGGTTTAACAGAAAATATCTGTATAATAACATTACTTCTTAGAGAACAAACTAGGTAATGTATGGCGTGAGGTCAAATCATCTTTCTAATGTGGTCTTATTTGGTATGGTAGCAACTTGCCATTAGAAATCTGTTCAACACATTGAATCGGAATAGAGAACTGAACTCGGGGCTGCAGTGTGGCGAGTGAACACTTTCCCCACACGGCTACCCAATCGCCCTACGTCTAGACCTTCAATGAAAATGACGCCAAGCTTAGCACGGTCCCTCCTTTACAAAACTATCAATATAACTGATGAAGGCAACATCTTCGGGATGACTGATAATTCAGGTTTACATGCTGTCTAAGTGCAATGATTAAATCGGGTTGTTGGTTTTCAAATAACTCAAGCGGTATGAGGGTGAATGATTCGAGCGTAGAGTGTATCGTATCTGGAACATCCAGCTGATCGGCTGTATTAGCTCATCAATATAACTCCAGGTCACTATCTAAACATTCCATCATTTAAATAAACCCTTAACCAGGGAGCATTTGCCAGGAACGTCAACACAACCCAGAGCGCAATAATTTGTGTTAAATGTCAGATGACGTCAGCGCGGGGTTATTTTGGACAACTGTGGCACAACTTATCGTACAGACCCACTACAACAGCCAAATCATTCTAGCAACAAAGGCTTGCATGATATATCTGCTTAGACCATTTCAAACTTGAAGAGCCTGGTCAACAAGTGTTTATGATGTGTAAAGCACTGATAAACGCGTTTGTACCATATCCCTGTTACGGGCCGACCTATATATATTACAGCCCTGAATACGGAGTCAATGTTTGCCACACTGACTCGGATACGAAACTTACAAGTAGACTGAAGATAGTACCTCTGACAAAATAGTTCCGTCGACAACACATTCCTTTTAATGTCTAATGATCAAACATTACGCCGGACGTCCGTGTTTGTAGTTGAAACTGCTCGATTGCATCTGCAGGTAATTGCGTGTATTATGTCATTAGAACGCCGGTGTGAATAAAGCATGGTCAATTATATGTGGTTCTAGGAACGTTTCATGCTATTACGCTGCCGACGTTAAGTAATAATGTCCACAAAGGCAAATCAACTGCAAAAGTTAATTCCTCAAACGGCCATGACATTAGGGACCGTTCATAATTTATGACTAGGGGGGTGATGATGATTTTTATGGAGAAGCATGTACAATGTGAATGACCCCCCTAAAATTTATGTACAAAATAAGTGACCCCCCTTCATTTCATGTACAAAATCAACGACCCCAACCCCCTCCCTTCCAATAATTTCTAAGCATAATTTTAAACATATTTCTATGTACAAAATTGCTGACCCCCTAGCTCCCCAGAACAAAATGTGTGACCCCCCTTAAAATCATCATCACCCCCATAGCCATAAATTATGAACGGTCCCTTACACGAAGGAGAAGATTGAAAACGATGGCGTATTTTATTGAACTCGTTTAGATATGAAATGTACACGCTGGAAAACAACGCGTCTCGTCAGAGGCTCACAGATTCAATCGGGCAAAAAGACAAAATGGCGGCGATAATTATGTCACTAGATCACTGAAACGCAGTGATGAGTCCAAGTGTTCGCGAAAAGGGTGCGCATGTCCAGCTCTACCGGAAGTAGACACCATTCAAACATTCAGAAGTGTTCAGCAATAAATACGTCCTTGTTACAGCTTAGACTGAAATAACGCGTGGTATCAGATGTATTCACGGGAAGACGTTCTCAGCAATCAACACGACCGGCCACCACTGATTGATTGGAACATTGATGGTGTTCGACAGGAACAGTCAGAAACTGTTCATGTGTCTTTTATAACATTCTCACTGATTCAATAAGTGACATAACCGAAAGGTCTTAGTCACGTATGTTAAGACCATAAAAGAACGTTCCCTCATCGGATATATTAAAACCATATTACCGAAACCGAACGGGCAATGATAGGATATCTTTCAAAATAGGCAAGAGTTGAACAAACATTTTTCGATTTGCATATTCGGGGTTGTTTTGGCCACTGTATTCACAAAGGAAATACCTCCCATTTCCACTCCCGTTTCTTGGTCAATTAATGAATATTCAGAAACGTGTTCAATATGGAACAATCAAGACCCCATTAGAGTGAGGACGGAGCCCAGCCTGATCAAGCTGTTGAGCCGCCAAACCATTTCAACCACTTCAACGACACGTTGCCGCTGTTTGTCCCACTGCTCGCCATTATCGCTGGAGTAAATTCTATTTAGATCTAAGCTTGTGTTCATACGATCTAATCAATTAAGTAAAGATTTAAGCCTCGGGGTTAGATTGGACCAAACCTCATCTAGGCCACTTAAATAATCGTGGCCAAATCCCCCTCGCTATCGCCATCGAAGGTGCTTGCTTTCGTTAATGGCTGTGATGGCCTAGATGATTAACACTTGATATCTGTTTGATCTATACGATATGTGTGCTGAAGTCATTACTGCACGGATTCTATAACTACAGTCAACATAACATTCAGCGATGGTAGTTGATTAGATGCTGCATGTATTTGTTGAGTTTCGTTCACAAAAGTAATGGATCGAATGCAATTTGAATACAAAATGTCGAATGGTTCTGGAATCTTAGATGACAAGAGTCAATCACGACCATCACTGTCATCATCGTCATCATTTGGACATGGGTGGCCCAGTAGTCTATGGCGCTGAGATTTACTGTTCCGAGTTTAAGTCCTGATATAACTGAACCACTGTTCAAGGCGGCGTTAAACAGCTCGGTGTCGTTAGTTTCAAACTACAGTCAGTGAGTGAGTTTAGTTTTACGCCGCACTCAGAAATATTCCAGCTATATGGCGGCGGTCTGTAAATAATCGAGTCTGGAACAGACAATCCAGTGATCAACAACATGAGCATAGATCTGCGCAATTGGGAACCGATGACATGTGTCAACCAAGTCAGCGAGCCTGACCACCCGATCCCGTTCGTCGCCTCTGACGACAAGCATGGGTTACTGAAGGCCAATATTCTAACCCGGACCTTCACGGGTATTCAAACTACAGATAATTCAAGCTTATCTTATGGACGTTTCAGTGTACTAGTCAGAAAAAACCCTGAAACCCAATCATGAGGTCTATGACTGTTGATCTACATTACAATACTGAGTCTACACGGGTGAGTGAGTGAATGGATGAGTGAGTCAGTTGGGCTTCACGAATCTTGGAAGTATTCCAGTTATACCACCCAGTGTCAGCTTAACACGGGGTGCAAGCTTTAAGGGATGATCCGTCAGAAAAAAACACCCCTAAAACCCCAAGCATGAGGTCTATGAGGGTTGATCAACATTACAACATCACCACCCGGTGTTAGCTTAACTTGGGAGACAAGCCGTAAGTGATGCAGGTCTCAAACGTGTACCACTTTCATGAATTCCTTGAGCACGTGTATGGAACTGACAAACCTAGAAATATAATCAGGGCGAACCAGGATTCGAACCCAATTCCATCTTGAACCAACGCCACAATTCAACTACATCTTTCAGCTTTGACCAATACTTACATTGATGCCATCTTTAATGTTAGAGCGGGACAACTTGTCTCTCTTCTTAACGTCGAAACTTTTGAACATATCAATCAGACGAAGGTTGTCCATTTTCATGTACTCAAACAGAACCAGTGTGGGTTCCCACCGCTGCAGGCTGGTTCCGTCATGGTCACGTGACACCGAGCCAGTGGCCAGCTTCATCTCGTGACCGTGGATGACCTTGAGGTTCCGGGTGTCCTGGATGGCCTTCATGGTTTCCATGAACTCACGATCGACAGCAATGTCCTGGAAGAGTAAATAGGTGCGTGAGTGAGGGAGTGATAGAGTAAGTGAGTGAGTTTAGTTTTACACCACTGTTAGCAATATTACACCAATTTCACGTTTGGGGACACCAGAAATGGGCTTCACACATTGTACCCATGTACTGAATCGGACCCGGGTCTTCGGCGTGACGAGTGAATGCTTTAACCACAGCTGCACCACCGAACAACTTGTGATAGAGTGAGTGAGTTAAACAAAAGTGACAATCAGTCATATTCCAACAGTGAGCACATTGAAGGGCGAAAGCTCACTGAGCTCACGCATGTTGTGGATTTTTACCACATTCGAGAATAAATAACAACACTGTTTATGTTATCAAAATCGGTGTGAATATGGGATTCGAACTCACGACCAGAAGGCCCTGGAAGGGCTAATGACCGATCCTGACGCCTGTGATAAAAGTGCCATCCAATACACATATAGTGGATTAGATACTGGGGACACATCTGTGTGGGGATCGAACTGACATTTACTTAGTCTAATATTTTACGCACCTTAAAATGAGAATGAATGCTTTATAAGATGATATTTTATGCAGCTATATGGGAAAATATACCCCAAAGACATAGTACCATTTGTCAAGATGGGCACTCAGTACCAGCTAACGTATATAAATCCTGTCCCGAAATTGAGACTTTCCCATGTTATCGAGTAACAGTATATGATTAGGGATATATATTAAACAAGACGAAACCCAAGAATGTTTAAGCTGTAATCACTGGTTTGCTTGACAATAGTGACAGGATGGGGAGGGTTAATTACTGACTGGAATTGTTCCAGTTTTTCTATGATATTTAATCTGATGGTACGAATACAATTGTATATTAGATACAGATTGAGGCGGGGAGTATAATTAATGTTGTACAGTTTGTTGTAGGTTATTTGTTCAGGTCTGTTAGTGACTTTTCTTATGTTTAAAGGTGGCTGGGTGGCGTAATGGTTAAAGCGTTCGCTCTTCACGCCGAACACCCGGGTTTAAATCCCAACGTGGGTACAATGTGTGAAGCCCATTTCTATTGTCCCTGGCTTTGATACTACTGGCATAAAAACTATATTCACTCACTAACTTGTAAATTGTACCTCCTATGATGCAGCAGGCTAGTATTTTGTCAGTTTACATACTGATTATATTTTATATAAAAGTGAAATAATTCGTATATATTCCACATTGCATTTGACTCACCATAAGAGTTTCGCTACATTTGTTCATTACAGAGTCCACTAAATCAACAATATCGAGTTTGCTCCAGGCCCCACTTAACGGCACTTAATGGCACCTGGCGGAGAGGATTGTCTAACTCTCCCTCTCAGTGTTATGGTGAGAGGCTTGGATTTATCCCACAGGGCCCTACAACGGATACCGTTATGAAATCCGACCACCTTACTCTTATAGATTCTGTCTACAGTCGGCTCCCAATGCAGTTAAATACATTTATCAGAAAGCTATATATTAAAAAAAATTATTTATGGCAATAAATCGAGACTGTTATCGTAAAATCAGAATTCGTTTTTTTCAACACATGAAGTGAATATTAAAAGCAACGGTTAACAGTGAGTATAGAACGAAACAACATCACATCGAAGCATGGGTGTTGATGATCTGTGATTCAGAAACAAACACACCGGAAGAGAATCTAGCTCCAGGGCAAAACATGGCGAATCGCAGTGCATCGTGGGAGTAAGATAACGCAAATAAAGCACTCAACATATTGCCAAAGCCGCCCCGGCACGCATGTATCTGAGTGATAAATGGAGATAAATTGATAATTTATAGCCATTCTTGTTCTCTCATGCCCCTTAACGTTTATCGAATGTGCTGGTACACTGATAATGACATTGATTCTCCAATATCATGAACTTCAAGGATCATTCATTTTCATTTCATGAAATATTGTGTCGTCTAATAACATAATAATCATTCCACACACACACACACACACACCCTTCCGTTCATCTATCATATTAAACGTTTGGACCCGTCAATGATTTAATAAAACGTAGACATTTTCATACTGGGGACAACTAATTTTGAAAATGAAGGATAACCATTTTATCTTGATCCTCTTTCTTTGAAGATGAAAGAGAGCAAGAAGAAACCCACAACGTCCATCAATTGTACACAGTGGCAACAAATAAAAGCGATAGAAGCGCCTTCCTTTCCTCACTCACTATACATTTCGAAAAATAAATAAACTCGGAAAGTTGAACTGCTTTGACCATTTATTCGAAAATGTTTATTCACGATTCCCAGATAGAGCTGATCGATAGTTAACTGTGAAACAGAACATTTTGAAAACAATAATCTCCATAGTTAGCCCCATGCAACTTGATCCCGTTGATGATGCGCACTTTTGAAAGCTAAACATTTAACAGTAACGGAGGCCTGATTTCAGATTTCAAATAAACCCCCACAGGTCGGATGTATTTTTAATGACAGATTATTGATGAAATTTGAAAGAAAAGACCCTTCCTGAATAACTTCACATTTCAATCATTGACAAACTGCTGAAACCCGCTGAAGCCGTTGTCCATTGGAGATTGCTGCTTCTCAGCTGACTTTCGATCTACTCCGTAAAAATATCTGAAGCTATTGTTCGCATGTGATTTATTCTCGAAATAAAGACTGGTGACCAGCAAACTGTCGCTCCACTTCACCAGCAACTGATTACACTAACACGGTAATGCACCTATCACATTTGTATTGATGGAAACATCATCGGTAACAAGTGTAGTTGAGTTAAACATGAAGGTGTGATATAAAAAGATCAAGCTAAATTATTATTTTTGTGAGTGATGAAGCTCCAAGCTTCAGACACAGTATTCTGAGTGTGTAACCTGTTCTTGTTTCATTTCCTTAATTCCGATCACCAGGCAGGGTAACAACATGTACCGTGTTTTAACACAGCCGCCGATTGAACCAACCGATAGACGATCTATACGCCAGACCACACAGACGGCCTTACATTTAATACATTTATAAAGATTAACACAGTACCCCTTGTGCCTCCAACTGAACGTATGTCTACCCAAACTCTCAGCCCCATAGGGACGGTGGGTTAGCCTAGTGGTTAAAGTGTTCGCTCGTCACGCCGAAGTCCCGGGTTCGATTCCCTATATGAGTACAATGTGTTAAGCCCATATCTGGTGCCCCCCGCCGTGATATTGCTGGAATATTGCTAAAAGCGTCGAAGACCAAAAGCCGTTGAAAATGGTATTTGTTGTTACCCCGCCTGCGCTCGGCACTACGGGGATAAACACTAAGGGTTGGCTTGGAGTCAGTATAATGTGGCTGATTCTCCATGTTAAACTGCTGCATGGTATCTCAGTTGCCTAGTTCAAACACCAAGCATCTGCCCGTACAAGCAGCCACACACACTATATCAGTGCAATAATCTCGAGTTCGTCGTTAAAGCCTATTTCACCTCACCTTTAACATTAATAAAAGATTAATGATTTGTTGAAGTGTATGAAACTCGTATCGTTCAATAAAGGTGAAGCCTTCTCGGGCGCTGAAGAAGAGACGGCTTCAAATTAATTTTTAATGTTTGACGTGTAATCTCTCAAGCATCGCATCTTGAAATGTGCTTATAATTTTAAACATGCCAGTTGTAGAAAATTTAAGTGGAAAGGTGTCCTTAATTAATGGAGTTTACGTACCCTACACATGAATATTGAAAGAAAACGGTTTCCCATGGTGTTAAACAAGAACACGTATATATTCAGGTTTCCTTGAAGTCAAATACTTCATTGACTTAACCTTAAATAAATTCATTCCATGCCGTTATGAAACAGCCTTGATATATTGATCGGCAGATGGACTAGTGAGTGAGTATGGTTTTACGCCGCTTATAGCAATATTTCAGCAACATCACGGCGGGGGACACCAGAAATAGGCTTCACACATTGTACCCATGTGGGGAATCTAACCCGAGTCTTCGGCGTGACCAGCGAACGAGCCCCGGCAGAGGGGTAAGCTAGCGTGAAATATGTTAGCCAGTTTCATATAGGACTGGGTTAAATGTCTGACAATACGGTTCCGCGAAGTTATCATAATGAGTCAAAGAGTATGAAGGTGGTTCTGATCTCGCAACATCGATTCGTTACATATAATAATTAAATTTGATCAAACTGATCTATAGAAACTGGATAATTCTATTTTTATTTTGAGCATGAAAATCAAGTCTTTGAGAAGGATAATGACAACGTTTACAACTTCGATAACAAGGCACGATATGAAGACAGCAAATTGATAAATAATTATTGTTAATATCTTCTTTGATTTGACTTTGTTCGCAGTGTTCGAGCTGTTTTTAGATTTGCTGACTTTACTGCAAGTCCAGTATACATGAACAGGTGTTTCTGTAACGCGTAACTTTTGTTGTTGAGTATATAACTGAAACAAAAGGGAGTTTTAACCCTACTTTACTAGCTCGTGTTCCATTGCTCGTAAAAACCACACTCATGCTAAACACGTTTCGACATAAATGATGATTTGGTGTGTCGGGGCTGACAACGCAGCTAAACCTATTGCCGGAACAGAAAGTATGTGGTTTACTACCTTCATCAAATGCCAAGCGTACGGACCAGTGTCGACCGGTTGACAGTCTTGATTCAAAGCCTTCAAACCGTACGTTGTTTAAAGCTCAAATATTATGATGTATACATCTCACTGTCAAGTAATGATTTCCTTTATAACACAGAGACCATGCCTTTGAATGAGGCAAGTGGCTAATTACACCGTCTAGACCGACGCTGGAAATTGGATCTGGATAGTCGAGTTTAGTCCCTATGATATACGGATTAATATACGACATTCCGCCTAAAGAGCGACCCCAAGCTGGGCCACGTTGGCGGATGCTGGGTTTCTGACGTGAACTCTCCGCCCTTAAACCAACCAGAGAATCTCTGCTGGAGACATGTCAGGGGACTTTACTGGCCAGAGTCCGTGTGTATCCTCGTTTGGAAAACCCGAGACAACCTCGACACCATGTGGTCTTGTATTATCGTCTTGCTGGTCAATATTTCCGGCAGTTCAAGCGAATGAACGACAGTACACACAATTTCGTCAGCATATCCCTAACCAGTCATACCTGTGAATATTCCAGCTATATGGCAGCGGTCTGTAAATAATCCAGTCTGGACCAGACAGTCCAGTGATCGACAGCATGAACATCGATCTACGCAATTGGGATACGATGACATGTGTGACTTACCAAGTCAGCGAGCCTGACCACCCGATCCCGTTAGTCGCCTCTTATAACAAGCAGTGTTGCTGAAGATCAATTCTAACCCGGATCTTCACGGGTTGGTACGTTGCCAAGCCAATGCTTTAACCAACCACCCCTATCAGAAATAAAGACTGAGTGAATATTGTTTATGTCGCAATCAGCACTGCTTCAGTTGAATCATGACTTGTGACAGGGTCTGCACCATACGCACCAGTGGTTGATATTGGAAACAACGATAAATGACCCATTAATATGACTATTAAAACACGTACTTCTAGAGACAGCTCCCTCAAGTTCGACTCCTTACAGTCCGCTATCGCCTTCAGGAGCTGGTTAGCGCCCTCTGTCGTCATGGGGTTGTGTCCCAGCTGGAGGATAATACAAAAAATATATATTATATATACTGAAAAAATAGTACACGAAAACCCTCGTATTTTCAAACAATATAAAAGGTCATTCTAAAATAGTCGCTTGCCGTTGAACTTGTTCCATTCGTTTAAGTTGGTGTGCCAATCACTCGAACGTGGGGTATTTTTCTTTCATACTACCCGTGAAGATCCGGGTTAGAATTGATCTTCAGTAACCCATGCTTGTCGTAAGAGGACTGACTGACTGAGTTTGGTGTTAACGCCGATTTTAGCAATATTCCAGCAACATCACGGCAGGGGACACCAGAAATGGGCTTCGCACATTGTACCCATGTGGGGATTCGAACCCAGGTCTTCGGCGTGACGAGCCAACGCTTTAACCACTAGGCTACCCCACCGCCCCTGTCGTAAGAGGAGACTAACGGGATCAGGATATCTTGGTTTTACATGTCATCAGATCCCAATTGCGTAGAACGATGCTCATGCTGTTGATTGTCTGGTCCAGACTCGATTCTTTACAGACCGCCGCCATATAGCTGGAATATCGCTGAGTGCGGCGTAAAACTAAACTCACCTCCTCATTCTTTCAAATTTCAGTAGTGTACCATTGAAAGATGGGCTACTATTCGTTCAAACATTATTCTCATGCCACTTAAGCGTGTTGTAACATCCAACCCTACTGTACGTCTGAAATGTATTCAAAAGTAGGCATCTCGCCGCTGATTCAATAATAGCGAAAAACGAGAATTGCGAACTCTCTTAATTGGTGTCCGGGGCGGTGGGGAAACCTAGCGGTTCAAGCGTTTGGTCATCATGTCAAAGACCCGGGTTCGATTCCCCTCATGTGTGAAGTCCATTCTGGTGTCCCTCGCCGTGATATTGCTGGAATAATGCTAAAAGCGGCGTAAAACCATAACCACTCACTCACCTAATTGATCTCCAGCTCTTAATCAAGTACACTTGTTTGTGTATAAGAAAAGAAAATAACATTGAAAAAATATTTTAAATCTTTCTCATGGATTACAGGTAATAAATACATTGTCTTACAACAACGTAAGTATATCCAAGGTCAAGGTTCATGTTATTTATAGCGCATTGCAAACGCATGAAGTCCGTGCGCGCAGCAGATGTCAAGTGTCATAAAACATGGCGACTCGCGGTTTGAGAAGGGAAGCAGACTTCACGCACATCGACTAATGTTTCAACTGACATACGCGTGAGTACTTTTGTGAACATATCATCAGTATATCTGTTTAAGATTACATATATCATGTCAAGAGGAACTGCAACCTTCGTAATTTGCCCAATGGCGTCTCTGACTCTCGCACACGCAATTGTCGAGTTCGAGTTCTGCTTCTGAACCGTATGTCACTGTCGACATACACGTGTGGGGCAATTGCCACATGTGTACGACCTGCCTGGCCTTTCGTCGCACATTATGCTATGACATTAATGAAATACTGATCTATGCTGCGTTTTACTCAAATGGCCAACCCATAGGTTATAAAACATGGTTATGGATACAACATGCCATTGACCCAAGGTGTAAAATTGGTACGTTTTACAAGTTTTATATTGCTAGCGTACTGAAATACCTGATTAACATGGATATCCCACTTAGAAACAAACAGTTTCGATTATTAGATTCCTTTTCACTCTCATTATAAATGAAACTTAAATTTGCGCAAACAATTTGTTCGAAAAAAGCCCTCAAACTCGCAATTAAGAAAAATCGGCTACGAATTCTTGCACAATCATCGTCAATTTCCGCATCCGCAATAAATTAGAGGCATTAAAAATATCTCAATATTCATGACATTACACGCGATTGCGGTACAGACAATACGTGTTGGAATTATACATGGATTGATATATACTGGACAAAAATAGTTAGGGATATATGAAAATTTTGAAATTATGAATAATGATCTATCTATTCATTGACACATTGATAAAATATCAATCATAAAAATACCAATATCCCTAACTTATTTTGTCCAGTATATAATACGACGGTCTGTGACTTTGTCGTGAAGACTTAGTGACGATTATACTGGGAGTACCTTGACTGTTTGGAGACCCTTGTTGAGCACCAGCCCGTGAGCCAGGAAGCTGAGAGACTGGTAGTCGATTCTATTGCACGTAAGGTCCAGCTCTTGTAGTGACGTATTGACCTTCAGGGCTTTGGCTAATGCTAGACATCCCTCCTTGGCAAAACCATTCCACGCAACGTTCAGCAATTTCAAGCCTTGGTTTTTCTGTAAACAAAAGGAATTATCACTGAATCCTGGTATTAGTGGACAGATTTGCCTTATATCCAAAGGGCAACAATACCCCCTCCTAGTCTTCGGTTGCAATTCTCTCTTGAGTTTTGTATTTTGTCAAAGCTTGTTCACAATTACATGACCAGCAGTTTGTCCTGTAAATGTGTGTATCAGCACAAGGACACAGGAAAGCTTGAAATAACAAAAAGCATACGACTGAAGATGGAAAAGTATGCTGCCCATCATTGATTTACATAATATCTAATTATAGGAAATATAACTTATATCAGTCCCCGATTTCTCGAAACAAACTTAAGTTTTATCTCAAATTTCAAACCGAGTTTGACAATTTGAAACAGCTGAATGTTTAACTCAACTGCATTATTTAAATAAAAAAGCCCAAACAACTTAAGTAATCTATCCACCAAACTCAAATTGTCTACTAAGTTTGAGTTTAATATTGATTTCAGTTTATTCTGGAAAATGCATTTCCTGCGTTTTCTCAAATTTGAGTAAAAACTCTGACTTAAGTCAAAACTCAGACTTAAGTTTGTGTCGAGAAATCGGGGCCTGATCAATACAACATCTCACAGAGTGAGTGAGTTTAGTTTTTACGTCATACTCAGTAATATTCTAGCTATATAGCGGCGGTCTGTAAATAATCGAGTCTGGACCAAACAACCCATGGCCAGTGATCAACAGCATGAGCATCGATCTACGCAATTGGGAACCGATGACATGTGTCAACCAGGTCAGCGAGCCTGACCACCCGATCCCAATTGCGTTGATCGACGATCATGATGCTGATCACTGGATTGTCTGGTCCAGACTCGATTATTTACAGACCGCCACCATACAGCTGGAATATTGCTGAGTGCGGCGTAAAACTAAACACGCTCACGCACTGCTAAAGCAAATATTTCTGCAGAGTAACTTCCCTCACATGATCCAATGATCCGGTATTGGCCGTGACTATGATCCTTGGTGTGATTACGATCCTAAGCGGTAGACTGCACGTAGGGATATCATTGAAAAATGCTGTTGAAGGCTGCATTAGACTGAACTTCATCACTTATCGAAACCACAAACTCTTGCTTTACAGCAGTCGTATCGTGTCTCGGTTTGAGGAAAATAATTATACTTTGAACTAGAGAAAATGGCATTTCAAAATTCTCGATTCGGGTATTATTTCAATAAAAGCGATCACACTCAGAAAACATTTCTACATTGCCAGAGACGCTATGCAACTTTACATTTGGTAATTAAATAGTTTCACTCCTCAATGCAAATTTCAGACGCGACTTGTTTGCGGAGTATATTTTACTAGTCGACCCCCATCTGCTGAAGTGTTCATCGCCTGATAGATGTTCACACAACAGTAAAATCAGGACTCCTTTCTCAGATATTGAACGTTCGATCAGTTCATCGGAGCTGTATACCCTGAAACACACTTAATCACGTAATACACGGGAATAATCACGCAATTGCCTATCAGTCTAGCTAACAGGGTTAATTGAGGTTGCAATCAATGCTGTCTGAGGTTTAACAAATAAAATGTATTTAAAAATCAAACACCCATTCCTGTGGCGTTCTCCAGAAAATCCCCTTAGAGCAGACAGTTGGTCCAATGTCGAGAGACTCTGACCCAGGAGTGTTTTCTAACATGGAGGGCAAACAGCTTTAAGGGGGTGAGGGTGACGGAAACAGAAAGCGAGGCCTCTGTTCCAGAAGATGAGAGGCCGCTTACCGCCAAAGCCTTGCTAAGCTCCACGGCACTCTCGCGTCTCAAGTGATTCCACTGCAGGTCCAGTGTACGGAGCCCAGTGCTTGTGACTGTCGGAGTGAGAGAAAGATGGTTAGAAGGATGGGGAATAACTAAGACGTTGTTTAAAGGAGAAAAAACAATTTCTGTACCGAATGAATTTGTCGTTTTGAGTGGTGAGTGCTCAGTTGGATGACTTTGTAAGAGGGAAAACTTGTCGGCATAATTAGAAATCTGTCACTTGGGCACTGTGAGGAGTTTCTGATTTTGAACATTGGTCCATGCAATTAATTGTTATTGATTTTAGTTTGGTACTTTACTGTAAATACTTCTTTGGTTATAGGGTAGAAGCGGAACCCTTAACGTCCCCTCAAAGAGATTACTTATTTCAAACAAAACATAAAACTACTACATTGAATTTACAAGTAGGGTCAAACGTTCGCAGGCTGTGATTATCGGAAAGCTGCATCAAACTTTGGTGGAATGAACCAATGGTTGAAAACGAAACATTGCAAGGAACAAAACACGTGAAGATCCGGGTTAGAATTGGTCATCAGCAAAACATTCTTGTCGTAGAGGGGCGGTGGGGTAGCCTAGTGGTTAAGGCGTTCGCTCGTCATGCCGAACACCCGGGTTCGATTCCCCACATGGGTACAATGTGTTAAGCCAATTTCTGGTGTTCCCCGCCGTGATATTGCTGGAATATTGCCAAAAGCGGCGTAAAACCAAACTCACTCACTCACTTCTTGTCGTAGACGCGACTAACGGATCGGGTGGTCAGGCTCGCTGACATGGTTGACACATTTCATCGCATCCCGATTTTGTAGATCGGTGCTCATGTCATTCATTTTTCTGGTATAGACTCGAATATTTACAGACCGCCGTCATGTAGCTGGAATATTGCTGAGTGAGGCGTTAGACAATAAAAAAACCCAAAGAACTTCAACGAAAAAAACATGATTATATATAAGTTAAAGTTCGATTTATCAAAATATTTCCCAATGGTACAACGTGGAGCCCGTTTCTGGGTTCCACTTCGTAATATTGCTGCAATATTGCTTAAAGCTATGTTAAAACCCAACTCTCTCATTAAAGCTATGAAAAAGGCTCTCCTGCAATGCATCGCCCTATTCATAATTGCAAAAGTTAGCATCTGTCTCGTAATCTTGTTTGTCTTCTTTGATTGGCATTCTTCATCCTGTTTGTCGTTTCTCGTTTTTGAAAACTTCGATAACACCAATCAAATCCTTTTAAAAAGGCCTAAATCATAGTTAGTGAAGTGAAGTTATGAAATAATTACGAATAATGGAACTAGCCATCGGGCGTGATCCCACTTAATATTTATTTTGTAGTCTTGGATATTTCTCAGCAGAAATATCTTATTGACCGTCTCAAAAAAGACAACAAAACAAACAGTTTCCGTGCACAATCAGTTACTGCTCGAAGCGCCTGTTAAATTTATCTATTATGTGAAATCCCGATGTGCGTTATTAAATGTCAAATCTCTATTGCACTCATTTATGTGAGCGTTGTCATTAGTCTCCGGGCGACATTAGTGATTCGGGTTTTTGACATTACCCCTTAAGTTAAAACAAGTACCCCGGAAATAGGCTATAAAGTTAGATCTGTAGATATTCCGAATCATATTTCGAGTATATTTTCTTGTTAGCACCGCCCTAAGCAGTATTCCAGCAGTGTAAGGGCGTCTGTAAGGGCTCAAATCTGGACCAATGCCGTGGTTGAAATGGGCATCGATGTAAATTATTGCGATACAATAACCTGATGTCAACCGCGTCAACGGACCTGATTATAGACTAGGCCCGATTCTGGAAAAAGGCTCAAATAAAATATGTTGAGGCATTTTTTAGTAGGATTTGGTATCTAGGCTATTTTATCTATTTAAAAGTTGCTGATAACGAAAAAATGGGATACCAAGGTGAAAAAAAGTGTTTTTGACCTCAAAATTGAAAAACAAAATGGCCGCCAAAGTCGTCTAAAATAGTGGCAGGTGTGCACAGTATTTTCGCCTATGACTCTACCACTATTTTATTAATTAAAACGATACGTTTCTGGGTAGTTTCCGGAGAAAAGAATATTCACACAAGGGAATTATTCCAGAAACTGCCAGTGGAAATAATGCCCTTGTGAAAATTGTAAATGGGTGAATTATGTCCTATTACACTGACCATTTGATCTATGTTATAGCCTGGAAATGACAAGCATAAGTACTTATTGATCAGGTTTATCCTACTATCCCGACGTGTGCCGTATTGAGAGGAAAACAAAGAGAGGCATGGAAACCTCGAAACAAATGAAATAGTGATGATTACTACAGAAAACAAAACTCAACCCGTGAAGATCCGAGTTAGAATTGGTCTTTGGCAACCCATGCTTGTCGTAGGAGGCGACTATCCGGATCGGGTGATCAAGCTTGCTGACTTATCATCGTATCCCAATTACGAAGATCGATGATATGTTGTTGATCACTGGATGGTCTGGTCCAGATACCATTATTTACAGAAAGCCGCCAATAATGCTGGAATATTGCTGAGTAACAAACAGTAAAATTGCTTGACTACTGCTTTGATCAGTGCAAAGTCCTTCTTTTTAAATATTGTAATAATTAGTGAGCATGAAAGGTCAGGAACTTACTCAGAGCTTCTGCGATGACTTTCCCTCCCGCTGCCCCAAGTCTGTTGTGTCCCAGGTATAATTCCTGAAGCTTAGGGCACGACTGGAATAGAACACAGGCACCTAGTGAGACTCAGCGGGCACCTGCTGGGGTTGAGTTGTGGATTATGCAGAAATGTCTAGCACAGCGGTACGTTAGCTTTATCTAAGACGAATGTGGTCTGGTATATATTTACGTAAAGGTCTTGTTATTAAACTTAAGTGGAAAAAAGAAAATTACCCATTTGGGTTAAATGTCAGACGGAAAGAGGATAATAGCTCTCCCGTTTATATGAGGAGTAAGTCAACGACATTACCTACCAGGTAGCCGCCTGTTGGGGAGAGGGTTGAATATGCTAGAAGGGAATTTTGCCGATGAGAGCGGGATCCATTTGGTCTTTTTTTAAGAAAGTGTGTTCTCGAAATCTGTTTTTTAAGCCAAACTTTGTCTAGAATGTGTGACCCGTGAAGATCCGGGGTAGAATAGGTCTTCAGCAACCCATTCTTGTCATAAAAGGCGACTATGCTTGTCGTAAAAGGCGACTAACGGGATCGGGTGGTCAGGCTCGCTGGCTTGGTTGACACATGTCATCGGTTCCCAATTGCGCAGATCGATGCTCATGCTGTTGATCACTGGATTGTCTGGTCCAGACTCGCTTATTTACAGACCGCCGCCATATAGCTGGAATATTGCTGAGTGCGGCGTAAAACTAAACTCACTCACTCACTCTAGAATGTGTTTGGTTTTAAGATAGACGGACACAAAATGACACAAGAATTACAAAATGAAAACTAATTCAAAGTATGTCTATGCAGAAAGCGAATTAAGATTTTGATTGTATCACCTAATTTTAGTTTCATGCAACCGATATGCATTAAGTGGCTGAGAAAACGCATGTGGGTTTTTTTTCCGGGGGGACGTTAGGGTAGCCTACTGCTCATGCCACAGAAGTGGGTTCGACTCCTCGCGTGGTTTCAATGTGACAAGCCAATAACTGGTGTCCCCGTCGTCATATTGCTGGGAAATAGCTTAACGTGGCGTAAAACAATACTCACTGATATTTGGTCTGTTGACTCTTAGGCTTTTCAAACTAGTAAACTAAGTGATTTGAATAAAACCCTCTCAATACAAACGTTACGTCAGTGATTCTTTTAATCGCAAACCATATACAGTGAAATTAGAGACCGCTTTCGTGGTCTAGTGGATAGACAAAATCTGGGGTCGGTGGTTCAATCCCCTTAAATATTTACAATATTGTATGCTCTAGTCTTGAGCGAGACAGTAAACCCCTTTTCATCCCACTTCACTTCGAAAATTAGGATGACCAGAACGCAGTTGTAAAGCCTCAAACTCAAACTTGTTGATGAGGCAATAAGCACTATTTACTCAGCTTATAGCTAATTTCAAGAATATAACGTAACTGCAGATGTGAAATGGACTGCCTCGCCGAAAATAACACGAGAGATATGTGCCCATCATTTGGAGAGTTACCTCCCTTAGACTTATAAGCGCCTACCTTGATAATGCTGGCGATGTGAGATGCATCTGTATGGTCGATGTCGTTTTCTGTGGAAAAACAAAGGCATTATTAATATCTCCAATTGTATATTTTGTCAATATGTTCTTGTAACTTTAATTAACAATGTCCATGTGTGACAATATCGTGAGTGCATCACTGGTTCATAATTATGTTCTTGTCACATCTGCCTGATATGATCAGATTATTGCGTGAGAGCTTCGGGTTCCTTCAGATACTGCACTTGACAAGTGTGGCACTATCGTTACATTCTATAATAAATAATATTTTCTTAAACCATCACTTAAGTGTACAATATCGCAAACATGAAACAGAAGAGCATCTTCGATTATGCAGGGCATATTATATACATCTGATATGATTAAGCGTAACTATGTACTGCTCTGAATGACAGAGGCTGATGTGAATTGTAAGCCTGTGTGTATGGTGTGTGGTTACATGCTGGGAAGCGGATGCACTGTACCAAATACCCAAGCCTGTCTCACAGTCCTTGAACCATTTTCTCTACTGCCTATCTCTCCCTGCATTGCTGAAACCCTTATTGAAGTAAGTCTAGATTTCCCCAGGTTCAGGTTCTGAATCGCTGGTCTCTCTTGTGCTCCTTTTCAACTTAAATGGGTTTATTTGTTAAAATCTAAATTATATCTTCAGAGACTAAGCATTAGTCTACCTATACCTATCCCCTTCTCAGCTCTAGCAACCTATACCATTGTCTGTCTCACAGTCCCTGAACCATATTATTTTACCTACTTCCAAGCCCTCCCTGCAATGCTAAAGCCTCAAATGAAACAAGTCTAGATTTCCTCAGGTTCAGGAATCGCCCATCTCACTGGGACCCCTTTTCAATTTAAATGGGATTATTTCTTACAATCTAAATTTTATACATTCAGAGACTACGCGTTAGTCTATATACGACAGATGAACTTGTGTAAGGCGATAAAGTTTAACATGCAGAGTTATGTCCTTTAAGGTCGACAGGATCCACATGATTTATATTGTTTTTATCCAAGGTCAGCTCAAAACCAGAAATAACAAGCGGCACTTTCTTCCATCCAACGGGGATGGTGAGGTAGCCTAGTGGTAAAAACGTTCGCTCCTCACGCCGAAGACCCGGTTCGATTCCCTACATGGGTACAATGTGTGAAGCCCATTTCTGGTATCCCCCGCCGTGATATTGCTGAAAATTTGCTAAAAGCGACGTAAAACCATACTCACTCACTCCATTCAACGGGCGGCGGGGTAGCCTAGTGGTTAAGGCCTTTGCTCGTCACGCCCAAGACCTGGGTTCGATTCCCCACATGGGTACAATGTATGAACCCCATTTGTTGTGTGTACCGCAATAATATTGATGGAATATTGTTAAAAGCGGTAATTTATTTCCTATGTTAAATGCATGCATGTGTCACTTTACCTTCTAGTTTGAGTAAACGTATAGAGTTGTTTAATCTCAGTGTCTCTGCCAGCGCGTTCAGGCCGCTTCGACGGGGATTAGTCTGCGAGAGATTCTGTGAATAAAAGCTCAATAGATAACGCTCAACATGTGTTAGAGGTAAATCGAAAATCGGGTGTACGAACACGAAACAAGCAAAACCTGTAACAATGAAAGCTGATTCAAGACGGTAGCTAGCTAGGGGGTCGGGGTCATCTTAATAGTGATTGGCATCTATTAGTATTTGGGTCGAGGTAGCTTAAAAATATGAAGTGTAAAATATATAATTATAGCTAACCACATTACTCTAAATGCTTATAGTTCACACACATCATTTTCTGACACTCAACTTTAAAGTCTTCGTTTGTTTCAGTTTTTGGGGACTTTTCTTTATTTTAATGGAAGGGGTGGTTGGGGATGTGTTTTTTTGTGGGGTTGCGTGGCTGCCAAGTTATTGTGTGTTGCTCCTCAAGCCAGAACCGGCGTCGATCCCTTCCCTATGTGTTGGTAGTGGGGATGTGTCGTGTATAGCTGAATATTATATGATAAAACCTCATTCTCTCACCCACCAATATTATATATTCTGACAAAGAAGGGAACACCACTTCATGGCAGTGTTCCTATATTTATTCTCAGATTTCCTCCCACAGCGCTATTCAAAGCTGGTGATGAAAACTGGGAAAATATTGAAGGAACGCTGGAAATGTTCCTGTGTTCCTTTATTTGTTTCTCTCAGTATATTTGTTTATAATAGACGTGAATATAAACGATGCCTAGTGTACGAGGCCATGTGTCTGCCTTGGGCAGAGGGGAGACAATAGCACTGACAATATTTTGTCTCATGACTAATCCATGAATACAATGCATCACGACCCGTGAAGATCCGGGGTAGAATAGGTCTTCAGCAACCCATGTGCTTGCCATAAAAAGGCGACTATGCTTGTCGTAAGAGGCGACTAACGGGATCGGGTGGTCAGTTTCGCTGACTTGGTTGACACATGTCATCGGTTCCCAGCTGATCAATGCTCACTGGATTGTCTGTTCCAGACTCGATTATTTACAGACCGCCGCCATATAGCTGGGATATTGCTGAGTGCGGCGTAAAACTAAACTAACTCACTCCCTCACAATTCATCACACAACCGTAAAGGCCTTCTCAGCGCCTTCACCACAGGTGCTATCAACCTTTTCAATTTATTTGCATACAGTAACTTTTAAAGTGACTTGACTTAAAAAAGGAAAGTTAAACATATAAACAACCCAGATTAAACATATTCCTCATAAAAATCGATATTTCATAAAACATGTTTAGTTTATGAAGATGAAATGTCTGGGAAATGGAGACCTAGACTCAAATTTCAAGATTAGATGAAAAATATCACATTTGATATTGACTGTATTTCAGCTGGAATCGATGAAATCCAACCGTCAGGAAAGGGAAGAAAACAAAATGAGAAATTAAAGCAGAAAATAGGCTTAAAACGCAATATCCACGCAGTCTTAACGGTTCCGTTCATTAAACAAACAAAGGGGGTATTGTCATAAACCTCGAAAAATCAATATCTGCAAAGTACAAAAACGAATCTCGTTGTTCGCCTTTCTAAGCGAGAGACAGCTACTAAACATTATATATGACATTGATGGTAGAATGTGGAGAGCAATGAATGCCAACTGACTGATTTATAATCAGAATTATAGAATTTCAGTTTGCTACAACTTTGGAAATCTGATGGCAATTTTTAGTTGAAGTAACGTGCGTGAAATATTAACGTGTAGTGAAGTATTATATAGGGTTAAACACTGTTGTGTCGATGTTGACCTGGACGTGCGTAAATACTTCGAGTAAAGCGAGGTTCGACACAGCCGCGGGGCAGTGGGGTAGCCTAATGGTTAAAGCGTTCGCTCGACGACCCGGTTCTATTCCAAATATGGACTAACGGGATCGGGTGGTCAGGATCGCTGGCTTGATTGACACATGTCATCGGTTCCCAATTGCGCAGATCGATGATCATACTGTTGATCACTGGATTGTCTGGTCCAGACTCGATTATTTACAGACCGCCGCCATATAGCTGGAATATTACTGAGTGCGGCGTAAAACTAAACTCACTCACTCACTCCCAATATGGACACAATGTGTGAAGCCCATTTCTGGTGTCCCCATCGTGATATTGATGGAATATTGCTAAAGCGGCATAAAACTAAACTCACTCATTCGATACAACCGCAAAATAAATTAAGAATACAACAAGGTGCCAAACTTTTACTTCGAGACAACTATACGTGGAGAGGTATGACATGCTTGGAAGCGGATGCACTGTGCCAAACACCCTAGTCTGTCTCACAGTCCCTGAGGGGCTAGTGGTTAAAGCGTTAGCTCGTCACGCAGAAGGCCCGGGTTTGATTCCCCACATGGGTGCATTACAATGTGTGAAGCCAATTTCTGGTGTCCGACACCTTGATGTTGCTGGAATATTGCTAAAAGCGACGTAAAACCATACTCACTCAATCACTCTCACTCGTAGGTTTCACCGAATTGCTCAATGTCAACGACCTGAAGCACAAGGGGCTTTCCTTACACATCAAACGCTGTGATTAAGGGGAATACCGATATAACCCACTCAATCCAAACACTGCGCTCGGCTGTCTTTTGCACAGAGCGTCTGAGTGGTCCGATCCCGTTATGCTGATTCGAGGACTTTAGTATTATTCAAGGGAAGTGGAGTGATTATGCCTCTTCTTACCCCTATATAATTGTCAAAATATGAATTGATAACTGAAAATTAATATTATTTAAGATGACATGGCCTGTATGCTTTTGGACCAAAATCCAGCGGAACCCCATTAATCTGGACCATCAGTTCCCACTGAAAACGTCCACATAAACAAATACCATTATATACCAATCATAGAAACACGTAAATTAACGTCCGATATATCTATTAACAGGGTGGGCGGCGGGGTAGTCTAGTGGTTAAAACGTCCGCTCGTCTCGACGAAGACCCGAGTTCGATTCCCCACATGGGTACACATGTATGAAGCCCAGTTCTGGTGTCCCCCGTCGTGATATTGCTGGAATATTGATAAAAGTGACGTAAAACTAAACTCATTCACTCAATGCTACTGACCAGTTCAAGAAGGTATCTGTTAGCCTGCATCATCTCCGCTATATACATCACCCCCATAGGGCCCATGTTGTTGTCCGACAGGTCAAGCTCCACGATAGTTCGGTCTTTCTGGCAAGTAGAAAGCATGGATGATTTAATGTTTCTAAAAGAAATAGTTTTTATCTTCAAGGTTAATTGTAATTTTCTAACATACATGTGTGTATGCGGGTGGTTGTGCATGTATGTGTGAAAATATACGTAGTTACTAAAAAGCTAGGGCGTTGGCGCGTACCGCCAAAGACCCGGGTTCGATTCCACACATGGATACAATGTGTGAAGCCCATTTCTGGTGTTCTCCGCCGTGATATTGCTGCAATGTTGCGAAAAGCGGCGTAAAACTATACTCACTCACAAACTGCAAAACATCTTTTGGAAACGTTGTTCTAGTGACAGTCTTGTTTTTATGCTTTTGCACTGTGAAGGTGAGGGTCGGTTGGACAGACTTTGTCGAGGTTCAAGGAAAATTATATTTGAACCCTAATTAAACCCCACGTTCGATATGAGTCTTACCTCGACTGTGTGCAGTGCTCTGAAATGCTGCACATGTTTATAGATTTAAGTTGGTTTGTACAACGGATATGTTTTATTTAGGACCTGGGCAGTGGTTTAGCCTTGTGGTAAAGCGTTCACCTGTTCTGCCGAAACGTTCTGCGGACTGTTCGTTACATGACATATATTGCTGTGTCTTTTGCTGCCGCTCGAACCTTGGAGGAACTTCACACATCCAATACTAAGAACAATACACCAAAGAAAAATCGGTTTCAAGTGAAATTAAAAGAAACTAGAAAATACATTTCCTGGATAGAGCTGTGCCTGAAGTAAGATCATCAGGGAGTCCAATGTCAAAACGTCAAAAGTCAATTTGGAGAAAATTAAAATTACAGTATAAGACTTCTCCAAATTGCCGATTCCCTTAAGGCAAAAATAAAGGTTTGGACTGAAAGAAAGAAAAAAATGGGAAAAGAAATATAAATTCATCAAACAAAATAAACATTTTAGAAATAACGAAAAACACTTTTACAGGCAACTTAAAACAAACGGTGATTGTGAACATGATAAGCGGCCTCCCATGGATGCCAATGAGAGGTTCTGGAAACAGTTGTGGTCTATACCCGGCGACTGTAAGCTTGAGGCACCATGGGTCAGTGCGTATGACCATGCAATGTTTGAGAAAGTAACTAGGTAGTGTGTCTGTTACATCTCACCAGATTGCCTGAAAAGTGTTATCAAAAAGTCCAAATCTAATACAGCTCCAGGGCCTGATGGCATTCGAAACTGGTACTGGAAACTATTTCCGTGTGTTCAAACACCATTACTTCACTGTTTCAATTCTCTCGTGGACACAGGTGATGTTCCTCCATGGTTCTGCAAAGGTCGCACATTACTCCTTCCCAAAAAAAGGAGACTTGACTTCCGCCCTATCACATGTTTGAATACACAATACAAATTATTCACAGGGTGTTTGACAAACCTCGTGTCATCATACTGCTCTGCTAATAGTATAACTTACAGAGAGCAGAAGGGAGCAAGAAAGGGATGTTGGGGGTGCAAGGATCAACTTCTTGTGGAAGGTTTTAGTCACATTATTTATGCCACCGGGTACCCATTTTCTGCTGGGTGAACAGAGGCAATTTTGAACAAAATCACTTGACTAAGGCGAGACCAATAGTATGACATGTGCCTCGTTGTGGGGCCGACCTAGAAACTCTCAGGAGTCAAGCTGCAAACACGTTCACCCATCCAAGGACTCTCCGCGCCTAACGTTGCTTAACTGATTTGTGACCTGAGCTCTATGCACACGTCACCACGTCAAGGGTTTGATTTCCCACATGGGTACAGTGTGTGAAGCCTATTTCTGTAGTCGTGATATTGCACAACCCGTGAAGATCCGGGTTAGAATATTGATCTTCAGTAACCCATGCGTGTCGTAAGAGGCCCCACATGGGCACAATGTGTTAAGCCAATTTCTGGTGTCCCCCGCCGTGATATTGCTGGAATATTGCTAAAAGCGGCGTAAAACTAAACTCAGTCAGTCAGTCAGTCAGTCGTAAGAGGCGACTAACGGGATCGGGTGGTCAGGCTCGCTGACATGGTTGACACGTGTCATCGGTTCTCAATTGCGCAGATCGATGCTCATGCTGTTGATCACTGGATTGTCCATTATTTACAGACCGCCGCCATATAGCTGGGATATTGCTGAGTGCGGCGTAAAACTAAACTCACTCACGTGATATTGCACTAAGATCTCGAACAATTGATGTTGGGGGAAGGGGAGATGTGGTGGGATCGAGGATGGTTATATGACAAATATTTGGTCAACGTTAGGGTAAACAAATTCTGTTCGTCCCGAAAATACATGTTTGACGAGAAGAAACCTATGTTGGAGTATGCACGTTTGTATGATCTCCCTTCCAGTTTCCATAGGCAATTAAATGGAATCGATATGTACTTACCACTAACGCTATAGCTATGGGCTTGATCTCCTTGGGCCCAAGATGCATACCCCGGAGACAGACGGAGACCTTAGTCGCCTGGTCTCTGAAGGCCCCACAGGGCGGCAGGCGACAATTCTCACACGCCTTGGAGTACACGATCTCGGTCGTAATCTTCCGTTTCTTCGAGCGACGTCGAATATCCTCTGAAATATCGCAAGGCGGTGAGGCCTTTAAATTATGCCCGGATATTTGTAGGATTTAAGGGGAATAAGAATATAATCCGATTAAACCGTGTACGATGACTCGAGCACCAGCTGAAGAATATACCGATTCTTCATTTTGGCACCATATATTACTGTAAGCTTTTGTTTTGGCCAGTTACTATAATTCATGGCTTCGGCCTATTTATTCCTTTGACACTCATTAGGAGCCGGAGTACCAAAGAAGGATAAGATGAATTGATGGTTGAACAACAGTTTTCATTGCAATAGAGTTGTTAGAACTTGCTCCGTATCGTCGATCTGTGAAAAGTGATGACACCAGGTGTTATCGGAAAGACTCCATCAGACATTTTTAATTTGTCCGTACAAGCACAAATTGGAATCAATTTGCACAAAAAAAACTTATGGGGAGTGCAACAATATGGGGAGTGCACGGGGATATATGCTTCTTGCCTAAATGTTCTATGACCAAATTTCATATGAGTGAAACCGATGCAAGTTCAGCATTTCTCGTCCGTCGTTAAACTTCAGATTGCGTGTGCCTCCAGTTTTTGTTCTGAAAACTTGTAACGATGTAACGTGTGTTGTCTCTAAACTATACCTTTAGTGACAAATACCCAATGGATAAAGGAATAAAAAAAAACTTGTATAGGTAGGTGTGCACAACGAATATTTAAGGCCACCCTTGAAGATTGGGTTAGAATAGGCAACCCATCTTTGTCGTAAGAGGCGACTAACGGGATTAGGTGGTCAGTCTCCCTAAGTTGGTTGACATATGTCATCGTATCTCAATTGCGTAGATCGATCATGTTGTTGGTCACTGGATTGTCTGGCCCAGACTCGATGATTTACATACCTCCGCCATATATAAGGAGTATTGCTAAACAACAAACTAAACAAAAATACCCAGTGAAACCAGGACTTAAAGCAATTTGCCTTAGGCACCCCTGAAGGTTATCGTAGCCCGACCCTGACAAAACATGCACGACTGCTGTGGTTGTCCGAGTATAAATATTGACATTAAATGGATTTTATCTGAAGACTAGCCAGAAAATATTATATCAAACCTTCGTCGTCTTGATCGAAATTGAAATCAGCGTCGATATCAAACTCAAAGGGTGTTGATTTCCTTCGTCCACGCCGCCGAAAGTCACTGTTGTGGTTTTCGTCGAAGTCACTGACGTCATCAGCAAAGTCGTCGTCATCGCTACTTCCCGATCCATCAAAGTCACTGCCTCGTCTGCTAGCCGGTTTGTCCTCGCCAATTTCCGTCAAGAACGTCTTCTCCCGATCCATCATCCGGGCAACCGTCTCGCCAAGGAAGCCTCAGAGGTCGGGCTGTCCATGTTCCGGTCTGATTCCTGGCCCTTACCAGGCTCCTCCGAAATGGCCGTCAGGTTGGCACCGTCTTTCAGGGCCTTCCGCCTGTAATGGTATAACGATAAAATAATAGCTATATGGAAATTTTGGCAGTTATGGTGATGCCAACTTGTCGGTTTAGGTTAGTTTTCTGTTCCGATTGTGGCTACTCTTTTGGGGGCTCCCCCATTCAGCAATATCAGCGCTACGAACATGGTAAATCCCATACTTTTACCAAGTTTTTTTGTTTGAGTAATACAGATGATAGTGTTACAGAACGCTCATGCACATGCATGTGCAGTATTTTTCAATACCACGTTAAACCCCTTTTCCCTTCACATCAACTCTAATTCAAAAGGAACATACGGTCCACGAATTCGGCATACTTTACTGTTTCCTGTCATTCTGTTGTGGAATGATTGAACGTTTCGTGAGACGTTTAACAACATTATGGTAATGTATCCTTCTCACTACTGCGTAATAACCATTTCTGAGATCTTCTCTAGGGTGTCGTCAAATTTCATTTGTAACGAAAATTATCTTAAGGGATGTTGTGACGTGGGAAGGAGTAAAAACCTTTAAAGCAAGGGGTGATTGATTCGGTTGTCGGGATCAGTTTGTCTTCCGGGGCGGTAGGGTACAATGGGCGTTGAAGCGCTCGCTCATCAAGATTCCGGGTGCATTCCCCATGTGTACAATGGACATTGGGGGGGGGGGGGGGTTAGCCTATTGGTTAAAGCGTTCGCTAGTCTCGCTGAATACCCGGGTTCGATGTGCGAAGCCCATTTGTGGTGTCCACAGCCGTGATATTGCTGTAATATCGCTAAAAGCGGCGTAAAACCACACAATACAATACACTGGCCCACTTTGGGGTGAGGCGGTGTGTCTTTGTTGCTCATGCTGTCAGTCACTGGACTGAGACAGATTCGATTAATTAAAGTTGTGGCTGTTTACAGAGCTCCGTGATATGATCTGAATATTGTTGACTGCAGCGTAAAACAACACTTGCGAAATCGCCCATTTTTCAGAGCAGATAACAGCTCTTCTTCGTTTAAGTGATATGTCCATTTCTGGTGTCCCCCGCCGTGATATTGCTGGAATATTGCTAAAAGCGGCGTAAAACTAAACTCAGTCAGTTAAATGATATGTGCAACAGCGATTTATCCATGCCTACATTAAGCAGTTATAGATTAAGCAAAATGGAATATTTATTAGCGTTAAATGCTTTGGATAAATGTTTAGAAATATTTCATTTTGTGATTCGAATTCGCTGTAACCTTAAACCTTATTTTGTTGCTTCATATAACAAGTGCTTCAAGCCTTCATTCAAAATTATTTCTTCTACTCTGTCCTATAGTTTAGCTTGATCGCGGCATAATACCACATATTTATCCGTCATAACCGATAACGTTCGGAATATGCATATCAGCCAAATTAAGTATACCATGATTCATAATTATTTTTGACGAAAATGTTTACTATTGATGAGTCAGTATAAACGTAATTGAAGAAAAGTCAGAATGCATGGCTCCGATTACACAGGAGCAGACAGTGCAGGCATTTAAACAGTATCTCTGCAATCATGAATTATTGTTTTGATAGTTCTTAAAGGTGTTTAATGCTACCATTTCACCTACCTCACAATTTTTCTTCTGCCAGACCACATTTTGGTAAAATGTTATGTATCCCAACTAGAGCGAACTATATCCTCAACACATGTTGTTGAAGCCACCGCACTGTCACTAAGGCCTCTTAAGCCTGCATAATTCCACCTCTAGTAAATTCATGACACGGTGTGCCATCATATGTATACAAAATTTGTCATTGAGTGCACACAAAAGTTGTTGTTTGTGACAAACAGTGTACTCCTTGATCGTACAGAAAGTCTACGTGACGCCTCACCTTCAACAAAGCAGGACTGTCAACCGAGAGCGACCTTTCATACCAAGACATAAAGATGATCTATATTTAGGCAAAGGAAAAAGAAGATTCACAATATTTCATTCAGCCGATATTGCTAGTTACAAATGAGTGTCGACTCCAACGTGACCACGTTTGTCATGTATATACTTTAGGTACGACCACCGTTTTGCACCAAAGCTTTCTATAAGTTGATATGGTAGTTATGTTTGACATGTGCAGATGTGACACGTTAAATGGCCCATGAAATGCTGGCATTTAAGTTTAAACTTTAGGGTGAGAATGAATGGAATCCGTCACAATCATAAAAAAATTCTGCCACAAGCAGTCTATTGTACGATTTTTATTTCGATAAGTATGTATTAATGTATCACTGTCAGTGAGAGATGACACCAGGTGTTCGCAAAAAGGTGAGCGTATCCGTCATAAATACATGCAAAGGAAAGTCAAGTACTTTGCGAGGAAAGGACCTTCATTCTCATATCCGAGTTCCACCCTCTTGCTTCAGGGGCGGTGGGGTAGTCTAGTATTAAGCATTCGCTGTCGAAGACCCGGGTTCGATTCCCCACATGGGTGCAATGTTAGAAGCCCATTTCTGGTGTTCCCCCCGCCGTGATATTGCTGGAATATTGCTAAAAACGGCGTAAAACTAAACTCACTCATCAAATCCCTGTTTTCATATGTATGTATAAGGAATGTCACGTACTGTGACCCGGTCTCCGCTTACGTCACATTCTCCGACTGACAAAGGAAGTAACAAAAAGCCAAGCAAATACAACATCAAACTGAAACCACACTGCTCTGACAGGTGACAAATGAGACCCCACTCGAGACACACGAGACAATATCCTCACAAATCTGTGCTCCTCGGCGTGGCTAGTCACCTGCAGTGGATCGGCACCCGGGGATCACACGTAACCCCTTAACTAATCGGTCTCCTGATATTTATCATGAAACAGTCACTAAGGCTTTGCGGGTAGTGTCAGAATATCTTCTGTACTCCTGGTTGAGTTCCCAGGGATGAACTAGTAGTTCATATACAGAAGTTTTTATCAAGCCTCCGTTTGGTCCCACGGTCCCACAGGTGGTCAGTAGTAGTACCAATGCTAGAACTGAATTCTTTTAACAAAAGTAGCACTTTTTCCTAACTGTTGACTGCCATAGATGCCCACCCCCTCCCGTCATGATGCTGTTTGATTTATTTATACTATTCACACTTTGCTAAGGATCAAATCATAGATTCAACAGAAAACTATGATGTGGGGTCTAATTTGGTTTAAATATCTAAGCTTATTGTAAGCATGGATCTTAGATTTCAATATGTCACTGCATCTTGTGGATCCCATACCTGCTATTCACAGGTGTACTCGGTCCATGATTTGCAAAATGGTTGATTGGTGCCATGAAAACCATTTTGATGGTTATTCATGTATCAAGTGCTTAAGGTTAGATTAAAGTGGCTGTTTGCCTAAAGAAGGGTTACCATATAATACTATTTATCCAGTTTTAAATGGATACAATTTCAAATCATTAGCTATGTTTACTTAAAAGTTGTGAATTTTTGTGATCCTTAGCAAAGTGTGAGTAGTAAATATAGAGGCTTAAAAGCATACTCACTCATTTTTAAACCGAGGCCGGTATTTATTCTCCAATATAAAATATGGTTGTGTTTGTCACCTGAAACGCTATAAAATGCTATGAAACACTCTGGATAAAATATACTCCACCGGAACTACTCGATACGTTTGTTGTGCCCTTAAACGCACAATAGTCTTAAGTGCACAGAAATCATGAATATTCATGAGTGGGCGGAGCTTATGGCACTACGTCACATACACGGCACAGTATCTTCCGCGGAACTAGTAGAGGGAGTTGACCTATGCTGCTTCGTCTGTTATTGCCTTATACAATGTGACAGCTACAATATGCATATGAGGTATATGTAAACATGAAGTATACGTGCTGTTTATTCAATATAATGTGCTGTATGTGCAACTTCCCACGGTGAAGGAGTTCAAGCGAGAAAGCCTCCTCGAGAACAACCACGGTACCTAGCGTTGCGATGGAAACATTCACATGTCAATATTGTCATTGCTCAGTCCTGACTTATCATAACTCTCCAACCAAACACAATAACATCCCTTGTCAACCAACTAGATACTTATACAATACATATGTACGCACATATTGCCAGATCTAATTAAACTCCACGTATTTCAATAGCGTCAGGTCTAATAGGGCGTCTTATGAAGGAAGGAAAGGTTACCCAGGCAGGCCAAAGTACCCAATGCTACCTTTCCATGGCTATCAGGGCACTACAAAATTGAAACAAATATTTGAGATATATATCCCAGGGTAACCTATCATGGCAACAAATATTTCGGGAATTTGGGTAGTGTATCTGAAGTACCTGAGGAATCCCTCCAAATGGTAAAATTACTAGTTTCTGGTGTGAAGGTGCAGATAAATATATTAAGGATAAAAACAAACAAACACCAATTTAAATGTCTGGCAAAGTATATCCCTCCAAAGATACCATACTGCCAGGGTGTTTTGGTACTTTGGCAAGTCTTACTGAGTTTACTTATTGCCAGTTAAAATCACTTTCAATTATTTCCAACTTAACTTCCCTCTAAAGAAATTAATATAAAATCATTTTCATGGCATTTTCAACACCCTTTCAACCTGATCCCTTTGACCATGTACAACCCCTCTAGACTGAAAATTTCATTCACTCTCTCTCCCATTTCAGCCAAGCTGGGCCACTTCCTCGGTGGTCAAAGGCGGACAGTCAGTGTGCACCACAGAGGTTCTGCCAGCTGCCCAGGAGAGCTTCATCCAGCCCCAAGCATCCCAGGGGACTGGTAGGAAATGAAGAGCATGTTGTTTTGCTGTGCCTTTTAAAAAGGTCCATTATGCATTTAAGGTTTTCTGTGCACTTAAAGGTTTCCTATAGCAGTCCTTAAGTGCACAGAAACTATAAATCACAATCATAATCTTGTCCCCTCCCTGGACCCTCTTGGCTGTTTTTGGCTGGTGCAGAGGCCCCACCTGATCCCTTTGACCATGTACAGCCCCCTCTAGAC